GTGTTTTCTTACCCGGGAAGGGGGTTGGAGAAGTCTTCTGTGGATGTTCAATAAAACAAGGCTTCCCCCAAAGGCTAAAGAGTAAGTCTTCCAGGTGACTTGGGAAATCCCAGTTGTCTTGGCAGGGCTTGCAGCTATGACCCCAGGTCGTTCTGTTGAACTGAACACACACATACCGCTCTTTAAATGAAAGAGCATCCAGACCGTGTGACAGAGTGCTGAAGTCAGTCACTGAGTCAGTCATCAAACCTGGGTTAGTCTCAGGCAACCTCTACCACTAACAAGGTGCTAAATCCCACAAGCTTTGATTTCTACCTTTGTAAAACGGGACTAAGAATTCCCTAATTCCCACCCACCCCACAGCCCAGGTTGCTGTGAGATGAAACATGTCCAAATGGAGAGCATTATTCATGGAGGAAGCTTGGGCCACATCCTAGAATCCAGTGCGGGGGAATTCACTAGGAATATTCCTTGGAGACCACACCACTTCCCCCACGACTGTGCCTGGTATACCAAAGCAGAGAAAGAAAGAGGAGGGAGAGGATCATAAGCATTGCATTTTCTTCTTCTCATTTACAGAGATCCACCCTTCTCAGGGTGCAGTTTGGAGGATAAGGCAGGAATGGGCTCTGGGATCACAGACCTCCCAAGAGTCCATGTAGCCAGCAGGAACTCTTCTTTAATCTAACGAAGTACGGGAATCCTCGGAGGTGGTGCAAATGCACATTAGCCAGTGGTATTTCGTCCTGGCAGCAATTCATCGATAGATGGCCAGCTACCAGGTGTCAAGGGAGCCCCAAGTTTTCCTTTTGCCTTGGGCCCCATCATTTGTAAATCCAGTGCTGGCATTTTAGTAGAAACACCCAGAAGGAGTTCTCTGGGTCTAGCTGCAACAGAAGAGTATATTACAGATATTCACAAAACGATGACTTTTCCAATAGGTTTTTAATGCCAAACATATGTACTCCTTGCCGAAATTCAAATGTTTAGCAGATTCTGAGATTTCACTTCAACTACCCCAGCTGGCGTCCGACACATTCCACAATTTTTCTTCTACTTGATAACATCTATTTTTAATCCCTTCAGATGCCTTTCTTTTTGGCAAATTGGGAGGAGAGAGTGCCTGTCGCTCCGCGTCTTTCAGTTCGTATTTTGCATAAATCAACCAGGAATTAAGAATTAAACAATCACTTCATATCTTAGTTGTCAAATATTTCACTGTTGGGAGATGCATTTACATATCTGAAAACATGTTGGCCTCTCGGTATGTCGGGGATGTGGAGAATATATAAAGAAACTCATTGGGATACCGATGAGAACAACAGCAAGAAAGTGATTTGGGGCCAGGTAGTCAAGGAAGGTAGCAAGTCCACGTAACCAGATGAGGGGGAGGGCCTGACCTCCCTGGTTATTCCAGTCAACACTGACCTATGTCAGGTTCCCCAGAAGCAGACCCAGAACAAGAGTTTGGATAGAAGGGGTTTCCTTGGGGGGCCATCCAAGCAGTATCTCAAGGGCGTGGGGAAGCGAAACGGGGAAAATGAGGAAGCCAATGCTTCCTCATCCATGAACAGGCAACTGCTATCAGCAAGTCAATCCTGAAGGAGACCTCTGGGGGATTACAGAGCACACTCCAGAGATGTCCTACCCACGGGGCCAGCAGGTGAGGTATTAACCACAAACTCCTGCCCGTCATTACTTTCCATCTACCCCTGTGGGTGTTAACTTCTTGCACGTCCAGGCTGCTCAGTTCAAAGAGAACACAGGCTTATGGCCCTATGGTTCCCAAACTAGGCACCGAGGCACCCCAAGGTGCCACAGAAAATTCACAAGAGAAGCTAGGGATACTTTAAATATTTGAGGGAAACAAGGCGACATCTATTCAACACTGCGTGAGCTATTAAGGTGAGATAACTCAATGGTATGGGTTGATTTGTGCCCCCCCACCTCAAATTCATATGTTGAAGTCTTAACCCCCAGTAGCATAGAATGTGACCTTATTTGGTTGAATACCTCTAGTGCTGGGGAGCTCATTCTCTCCCTATGGAACATACCCCTTCTTAGAAAAGGGAAAGAGCATACCTCGAGCCCTTACTGGGTACTAGGTTCTATACATTCATTATTTCACTTAGTGCTCCCACCTGTATAAGGTGGGCATGACCATCACTATTTACATATGTGGTGAAATTGAGACTTGGAAGAGTAAAATCCCTTGACCAGGATCTCATTACCAATAAATGGCAGAGCCAAGATTCGAACACATGTCTTTTCAATTTCAGAGCCTTTTCTACTTGGAAATGTTACATGGCTCTGACAGGTGGGTGTTAATAACAAAAGACATAAGAGCTGACCTTTACTGAGCTCTTCCTTTTTCTAGGCCTGGTGGATTATCTGTTTGGTTTTCCTCATAGTCCTATAAGATTATCACTGAGGCTGCTCAGCAGCCAAGTCAGTCTAGCCCCAGAGCTTATGCCTTTTATTTATTTATTTATTTATTTATTTATAAATATTTTATCTATTTATTTTAGAGAGAGAGCGAGCGAGGGAGCAGGGGGAGGGGCAGAGGGCGAGAGAGAGAGAGAATCTGGAGCAGTCTCCGCCCTGAGCACAGAGCCCGATGCAGGATTCAATCCTATGACCCAGAGATCATGGATCTCATGACTCAACTGACTGAGCCACCCAGGTGCCCAGAGCTTATGCCTTTTAAATGGTAACCCTGCTGTGTATTTCCTCATATTGAGCCTAAACCCTCTTCCTATTCTCTGGACGCATACAGAGCTAGCAGAGTCCTTCTTCACCAAGCCTGCCCCTCAAAGCTGCATGAAGACAGCCCTTTGTCTTTCTGTTCAGAGCTGAATATTTTCCATCTTGTCTCACTTTCTCATCCCAACTCATCCCCAGCCCCATCTACTGAACACAGCTCAGTTTATCTGCATCCTTCTGAAAGCACTTGCTGATTGCTTAATGCTGCCCACAAAGGAAACAGGAGGACCAAAACTTCCTGTGAAAGGGAAGGTCAGACTGAGTCTTCAGACGATGGTGAAAAAAATTATGACTTCCAAGCATCGGCGTCTGGAGCTGTGTGGCAGGGCACTTTGTATTTGATGGAGGGTCATCTTGCAGCTGATGCCTTCTAAAGAGAAACTGAGGTCATCGCATGGCCAAGATGACATCATAATCCTCAGCAGCTCAAGGTTTAGAGATAAAACATGAATCAGATTGATTCCGTGTGAAATAATGCCAAGGATAAAGGATGCAGATTGGAACATGTGCAGTATATCTTCCACAAGCTGAGAACCTACCCCATAGGGTTATTGGAAGAATTAAATAAATTAATGTATGGAAAGTGCTTAGTAGAGCACCTGGCATGGAACGAATGATCAATAAATATTAGTATTAATATCAGCTGTGAAATGAACACTGCATGTAAAAATGAGTAATTCTTTCTGGAGATGAGATGTCAGGAAATAATAATAGTTGCCACTAGGATTCTTTATGTGCTCAGCCTTTACATATATTATCTGTTTTAATCCTTGACAACCTGTGGAAAAGTTATTTCCCCCTTTCTAAAGATATGGAAGCCAAGGCTCAGCAAAGTTAGGCATCTTATCCTGGGTCATGAAGCTAAATGGTTAAGAACTTGGGTTTTAGACTCAAACAGGTCTGGCTTTTTTTTTTTTTTTTTAAGATTTTTATTTATTCTTGAGAGACAGAGAGAGAGAGAGGCAGGCTTCCCGAGGAGCAGGGAGCCCGATGCGGGACTCGATCCCAGGACCCCAGGATCACAACTTGAGCTGAAGGCAGACGCCACCCAGGCACCCCAAGGCTTTTTTTTTTTTAATTTTAAGATTTATTTATTTATTTTGGAGAGAGAGAGTTGAGCGCAGGGGGTAGGGGCAGAGGGAGACAGAGAATCTCAAGCAGACTCCCTGCTGAGCGGTGAGCACAGAGTGTGTGGGCCTCCACATGGGGCTCAATCCCACCACCCCAAGATCATGACCTGAGCGGAAATCAAGAGCCCAGCACTCAACCGACTGAGCTACCCAGGCGCCCCAAACAGGTCTGGTTTTGAATCCCAACTCAGGAGCTTTCTGTGTAACCTAAAGCATGTCATTCAATTTCTCTGTGCCTCAGTTTCCTAGTCTGTTAAATAGGGTAATAAAATACTTTCCTTAAAGATGTGCTATGGGCAGTGAGTCAATATATGTAAAATACTCAGAGCAATGTCTAGCACATTCTAAATACTCATTAAATGTATACATGTGCATGGGGGGGGGCTTTGAAGTATGCATAGGAGTTTGTCAGGTGGAAACAGGAGAGAAATAGGCATCTCAAGTTAAAGTAATTGTGGGGCTAAAGGCACACATTTAGCTACCCAACCTAAGGCACAAGAAATCACTAGTGGGTTAGTGGCAGGACAGAGCAGAGTTTGGAAGGAAGGAGTTGCTTGTAGTTAGGTGGCAAGAAAAGGTCCTCAGGTCTAAGAGGACAAATCGGAGTTTGGAGAATGTGGCTCCCTGGTTAGTCCCAGCTCCCGGCCACCATCCCAGCTGCTCCGTAGAGTTCGCGACTCCGCCCCCACCAATCCCAGCCAATGAGGAAGCCCTCCACTGCGTCTCGTTGCCAGGCAACTGAGTTGACCACTACCTGGCAGTTAGCTGGCTTTCTCTACCTAGCACTGGAAACCTGAGTCTCACGCCTGGGCCACCTTAGGGAAGGGGGCTGGTGGCCCCTCTGTGGGCCCCCTTCAGATTTGGTCAGTGGAGGCTAATTTTTTTTGTTGTTGTTCGTATTTTATTTTCGTTTGTAGTACAGAAAGATATCCCCTTCCAAAGAGGGGAAAGCTCGTGAAAGTTTGTAACTTTCTAAAAACTGAGTAATTCCGGGCTTGCCTAATTCCAACCCCTCTGGACTTCCTTATTCTGTTAGTGGGAAACCCAGATGATGTGCTTTCCTTACTCCTGGGTCAGAAGCCTTTGACCTCTTTGGGGCCCGTGTAATTGGCTTTGGGAATCAGGAAGAAATTGCTGGAGCCTCTCACACCAGGGGCTGCTGAAGTAGAAGATTCTGGAAAAACCCCTCTTTGAGGAGCCCAGGCTATGCCTGAGGGATTTCCAAGATGACCAAGATACCAGCCACCAAGAAGATGCAGAGTGTCCCCAACTCGGGGGCCCTCTGGCCCTTTTATGTCTCAGAACATCTGACACAGGTAGGTCTCCCCTCTCCGCCGAAACCAAGCATGTTTTCAAGACCAAGTGAAATAGAAATTAGCCTTCAGGCCAACAAGGGACAGGGGAAGAGAGAAGTCCTGGTGTAATTAAATTGTCGAGACACATCCCTGCTGCTATCAATGGTTGGTTTCTCGTAAAGAATGAAAACGCCAGGCAGAACACTGAGCTGGGCCATTCTATTAGCCAGTAATTCCAAAATGATAGACTAAATCAGCAGTGACACTGTAGAACATCAGGAAAAAATTAAGATGAATTGTAGGCTTGCCATTGCGGAAATTATTTTTGGAGATCCACTGGGCTCGAGATACAGGCACATCCCCTCTCTTATGGAAAGACTTCAGAGTCAAACTTTCGGTTGTGAAGCCTGACTCTGCTACTCGCCAACTATTGATAAAAGACAGGTTGCTTAGCATCCCTGAGCCTTTATTCCCTCGTGTCTGCAAATGAGACCAGGAACATCAATTAGGCAGAAACAATGTTAGGACTAAGGAAGCTATGGAAATTGGTTAGCAGGATGCTAACACTTGAGAGTGTGTATATATGACATAAAATTCTGTTGTTGATTTAAAAAAAAAACAGAGAAGAATCATTACTGTGTAGTTCATGACCACAGTCAAGTGTTTCTGTTTTCAAATGATCATTGATGTAGGAAAGATGTTATTAGGGTTCGAAGCCGACGGCCAAGAAAGTCTTGAGACGTCTTTGGTGCAAAAAGGTGATTTTATTAAAGCACAGGGGATAGGACCATGAGGAGCGGCCCATTATATACTTTCAAGTTGGGAGGGGGTGAGGAATAGCGGAAGTCTCTAAGGAATTTTGCAAGCAAGGCTTCCAGGACCTTGAGGGGGCTAGCTATTGTTGGGAAAAGGTCATTTATTACCGTCTAATAAAACCTTAGTCATGAGACCCTTCAGATGTATATCGGTGGGCCATATGCTTGGGGGATGACTGCCAACACGTAACTTGGAGGGTTTAGAGATAAAGGAAGTTTCCGAAGGAATTCTTACACGTTAAAGTAGACTTACAGGATCCTGGGGGTTTGGGGGAGAGGTGGTCAGGCTAGGACTGCCTTTTGCCCTTAGCAAAGTATTAACATTGAGGCAGCTGAGTCCCTAGAGGAATGTCACTCCCTGTTTCAAGGACTTGTCAATGGGCTGTAGGTAGTAAGGAAATTTAATAATTTTTCTTCTGCCTTTGTTTCCCACACCAGTCATAACTGGGTAGGCCCGTCCTGTCTTTGTTAAGTGTGTCTTTGTTATTGTATTCACACACTGCACACTGTATGTCACCACCGATTGGCTAAGGTAGGGGAACAGTGGAAAGGAGAGTCACAGGCAACCCCAGCCCACTGTGGCATATCTTATGGCTCAGAGTCCTGCCCCAGAAAGGAGGGCCTGGGGAGAAATCGGTGCCCAAAGGAGACCTTAAAATTCACCCCTGGCTCCCTTGTAGTCCAAAGTGTTTCTGAGCTTCTCCCTTCTAAGAATTAACACATCTGTAAGCACCCCTCATTGTTCAGCATTCTTAGTGAGGTCACTCTGCAAGATGCAGTCTGTATGTATCTCCTTTCATCTCAAAATGCTACACAGAAGTGAGTTCCATCTGGAGCAGTCCCCCTCTGGGACTGAACTTCTTTAGCAATGGGGGGAGAGAATGAGGAGCGAAGTGTGCTTTTAGGAAGCAGAGGGGAGTGTGAGAGCTTGGGCAAGGGACCCAAACAGCCTGGGTTTGAACCCTGGATCTGCCCCTTAGCAGCCCTATCACCTTGGGCAATTTGCAGAATGTCTCTGCTTCTGTGTTACCATCTGTCAAAGGGGAAATCTCATTGTGCCTTCTCTTGACACATAGCAAACCCTCCCTAGAATTTAGTTACATTGTTATTTCATCCATTTAGCAAACATTTATGGAACTCGTTACTGTTAAACACTTGCTCTTGTAACGAATGGGACTTGATCTTAAATATTTCATGATCTATAGTGTATATGTTTGGGATGGGAAGTGAAGGATAAGAAATAGGTAATTATAATGCTGAGTAAAAAGCATCATTGGGTATCGTGAGAATTCAGAGAAGGACAGCTAACTTGTCTGCATGTGTTTCTGTGTGTGTGTGTGTATGTGTCAGATTTGCGGAGGGAAGAACCCATGTACCCCAGTAAGTGCAATAGAATTTTCCATCTTGGGATAGAGAGATGAAGAAAGTAGAGGAAGGTACAGAGGTTGGAATGGCCATGTCTTTCTTGGGAAGAGGGTTGGTGGAACTCAGGAAGGTCAAGGAAAGGGAAGGCAGTTTCCAGGGAACCGCTGGATAAACTAAGACTTCAGGCACGAAAGCCTCCTTGAAATCCCGCTGCCCCTGCCCCACTTTCAAGGAAATAATGAAGACTCTAGGGTGTCACTGGCTCACATCTGAATTAGCATGCTTTTAGAAATTGCAACTTTTTAGAGCTACTGTAAAGCATTGGTTAACCTAAACAAAGCTAACTAGAAAGTGACAAACCACAAGAAAATGTGTACAGATTAGGAGCAATTTCTGGTGTCAAACCAAATCAAACCAATTATAATTGCAGCAATGTAAATAACAGTGGTAACAATTGGCACGTCTTGAGTATTTACCACCTGCCGGATTCTGAGCTAGATCTTTCAGAACCACCTGCAACACTTCAAGGTGAGCTGTTACCTCCTCACAAGAAGGATGGCAACATGGAGAACCAGGGAGAACAGATCCCTTATCCAAGGATACTGGCCAGCAGGGAACAGATTTGAACTTGGATCTGTCCCCAGGGTTGAAGCACTCCCTGCCTCCCCATGCTAATCAAGCAGTGAGAGAGAGGTTAGCATGCACCACAGGGGGTTAGAAAAAGAAGGTGTAAGTGCAGTCATTGGCTTCAAATCGCTTTCAGGTTTATTGGGGGGCAGGGGGTGCCACATAGAGGATGACAAATGCCAGGCAGCCTGGTAAGCATCCACTGAGGAGTGACTGAGGAAGGAGCTGGTTTCTCAGAGGAGAAGGGTGAAGCCACACTGGGCTGCATGGTAATACCACCGACTACGGGTCCACCATGCCCTAGTGTAATGACACGTGGGGGAACCCCCCCACCCCGAAAGGATCCTGAAGCCCTCTGAAGCTAGGCATTTTCCTTCTTACAGGATGGAAGGCGCTACAAGGTAACTAATGTTGCAATGGCACCCTGCCTTGCACAGTCTTCATGGAGTTTTTATTTTTATTTTATTTATTTATTTATTTTTAAAGATTTTATTTATTTATTAGAGAGAGAGAATGAGAGAGAGAGCACGAGAGGGAAGAGGGTCAGAGGGAGAAGCAGACTCCCCGCTGAGCGGGGAGCCCGATGCGGGACTCGATCCCGGGACTCCAGGATCATGACCTGAGCCGAAGGCAGTCGCTTAACCAACTGAGCCACGCAGGCGCCCTTCATGTAGTTTTTAAAAAAACATGAATAAGATATGCAAATCCTCTGCTGGAATGTCTTTTGTTGAGGAAAGCTTGCAGCCCTCCACCCCCCCATGTTGGGCTCCCTAATCTTTGAGGGAATTCCTTTTCCCTTTAACTCCCTTTTCCCTTTGTTTCCCAAGGAAGCAAAAGAGAAGACTAACAGGATTAGCCATGGGGAAGGGAGGGGATCAAGGCGTGTACATATTACCAGGAACACATTTTCTTCCTTGAAAGGGGCTAAAAAAAGAGAGGCACTTAGCACACACCACCTCCATGTTCTAGAATGGAAATGCAGAAATGGCATTTGGCAAAAACTATAAAGCTGTGGAATCCTTTAGACAAGCTCTGTCTCTCAGTGCCTGAAGTTTCTACCACGCTGTCATTAAAACCCAGAGAGAAAAGAAGCAACTCTAATTTGGGCAGATCCTGAGACAGCCAGGATTCATACTTGGCACTCTGTTCATATGCCTAGCTTAGTGTTAAAAAGATTCTTCAGCAAACAACGTGAGTTCAAACCCCAACTTTGCCACTTACCAGGTTGTGTGGCCTTGAGCAAATGAGTTACCTGAGCCTCAGTTTCCACATCTGTGATAACGGGCACATCGCATTTTATCTAATTTAAGACACCTTCCATTTCAAGATGCGTCATAATCTTTTTGTGCCACTAAGAAAGAAAACTCTACTGATTAAACTATAACCTACTTTCAATTATAAGATATGCCCCAGTTTCAGAGATGCTAAATGTGGAAAGAAAACGTGCATCTTAGAATAGATGAAACAGCTAAAAGTGCTCCCCTGTCGTAGGGTGTTGTGGGGATTAGATGAGCTGATATGGGTAAAGCTCTTAGAACAGAGCCTGGCTCAGAGTAAATACTATGAACTGTTAGCCAGTATGGCTTTGTTTAATCCTCTATTGGCTCTGTGATAGAGGTGTTCTTATTAACCCCTTTAGTACCTGGGTAGACTGAGGCTGGAAGAGCTCCCAGGTCTAGTTCTCTGCCAAGAGGGGAGAAGGGGGCAAATTAAGCAGAATCCCAGGTATAGAGAAGACCTTGGCCTAAGCATCTCTGCCCCCCCACCCCCCACCCCTGTATGATAAGAGAAATGCCCAGAGAAGGTCTTAGGAGTCCAGCCCAGTTATACACTGAGTTGGGCTGCCTGGAATCAGAAAAGGAGAACGAAGGTATTTTAGAAAGCGATCCCCCAACAAGAGAAACCTGGAGTCTCAGCGTAAGTCGTTCCTAGCCGCAAACATGAAGTGATTTTCCTTCTTGTCCAGATAGGAGAAACTGTGGCCTGAAGAGGTAAGTGGTGAGTCATCGCCCGTCTTTGTTGGAAGTGGCCTCAGCGCTGGTTGATTTCTCTGGCCTCTAATCACAGAGACCACGCCCCCTGCCCTGAATCACTGATTACGCTGGGGGGAAAAAAAAAGAAAGAATAAAAGCTCTCCGGACCACTTGAGATTCAATTCTGAAGAATCCCACCGGCTGCACCTTCATTTTTATACGACTCATGACTTAGGCCAGG